TCTTCCGATATTCTTTATTGTAGAAATTAATATTTTTCAAATATAAATGAAAATACGAAATGTTTATTTTACTATAAATGCATTAAAATAGGATCTATTGTTTTCATGATAGGTTATTGTTAGTTTTTTAAAAATAAATTATCGGTCATTCGGTATATAATTAATTTATAATTTTAAAAAGCCTAAAAACTTCAGTAGACGATATTATATTCTGTTATTTTTGGAAAGTACCACCAATGCAGTTTATAAAGGAATTTGATGCAAATCTTTCTTCTTTTTTTTTATGTATTACATACAATCTAAACAAATATGAATTGATTTATCAGATACGTATTGGTTTATCTAATTTTAAGAATTTTAATTTAGCAATTACATTGTGTTAAAAGATATTAATGTTAAACTAAAAATTATCAATATGTAATAGAGATCTTTTACAGTTTTTATATTATTTTTAATTACTTACAATATGGATGAATGACTATTCAATATCTATCAAATCTCGATTATAATAGCTTAAGTAAATTAATAGCTACGAAAAGTTATGTTCATAGAACAATTCTAATTTTAGGAATATTGTTTATCTTTTTTGCTCTTAAAATAACTGATCGTTAATGAATAAAATCTAATAATATCAGAGAAAATTATTCTATTAGTTTTATATAATTTATATAATAAATTAGAATTTTTAAATTACGATCAAATATCATGATTATAAAACATAATAATACTTTTCTTCGTCATATGGTTTTTTATTGACAATATTGGCATGATTCGATAATATATTTTATAAGATGTGTATTTTAATATCTTTACAATATCTTTTAAATTGAATTTAAATTATTGTAAATGTATATTGAAAAATTTGTTCCTTTACATTTAACAGCTCGTTGCATATTTAATTCAAGTTATATTGTTTTTATTGCAATAAATAATAGAATTATATAATTAAATTGAAATCGAATAAAATTCACTCTCTACATTTGAAAATAGTAAAATTTTAGCGGAAAATTCTGTCCTTCATCTTTTAAAATAAATTATAACTGGTGTTGAGATTGTATTTTTATAGTATTTATGAAGTTCAATATTAAGAATATTAAAATTTATTTATTATGTTATTATTATTATAGAAAGAAGGATTCGTTTTTATTTCTAAATAAATTATAATAGCAAATAGTTTAATAATTTTGATACCTTATATCATTACACATATTAATGTATTTTAGCTATTACTTTCAATAACACAATTGTCATATGATTAACAATAAAGTAATATAAATGAAAAGCTTTACAAGATAAGTAACGTAACTAACATTTAATTATAAATATGTTTTCAGCATATGTTTATTTATAATTCTAAATACAAATATATCGTATTGAAAATGTTATATTCCACCGTTCCTAAATTTGTGCAAATAACATATATCTGATTGAGAAAAAAAATTGAAGTCACAGCCATTTGGCTATAATGCACTAGGATTTATGATTCGTATACGCAATAATTGACAAGTCATTGAGAACTTAATATAATTTACCTCTAGATAAGATGACATTTTCATTATGAATAGATATAATAGATGTGTGCTTTTTAAAATCGTAATTTGCAATTAAAATAAATACATAATTGATAAATATATAATAATCTCAATTGAGTGAATCATAGTTAGTATTTTTTATTTATTTTTAGCTTTGTACAAACAGTTCTTAATAATTTAATCAATATTCCGAAAGAAAATAGAATGAATTTAATGTTTTCTAGTTTTAGCTAAATTTAGCTTTATCACAATTTTTTTTATCTTAAAACTAATATTCATTTATTATTCTAATTCTTTTTATTTATTATATATTTATTATTTATTATTCTGATTATCTTATACTTAATATTTAAAGTGGTGATGAAAATTTTACTTTTCTTTGAACATCTTTAAAATAAAAATATATTAAGTCATTTCAAAGTTATTAGTAGCTATAATATTGTCAAAGTTTCAATTTTTCAATAAAATAAAGTTTATATATATATATATATATATATATATATATATCATCATTCATTATATGAAAATTATACATTGTTTTCTTTATTTTGTAGTATATATTAAACATATATAGCACTAAGAAGAATATATTTTCAACAAATTCAACTACTAAAATTTTTTATTTACTATTGCACTAGAATTTTTACTTTAATAATCATATAAACGATGGGTGTTATTGAATATTATTATTGATATAATAAAGGATAAAATTATCGAATATTGTTCAGTGAAGTTAGGGATAATAAGGTTTCACGGTATATTATGGAAAAGTGCAATTCATTTTCAAAGATTTTTCATCGCAGAGCCAAAAGTAATTTCTGAGATTGACATAATAAATGCAGGTAATTTATTTGAGCAGAACAATAGTCTATTGCGATATGGCAAGAATAACGAAGTTGACCATCATAATATTTCGTCAATTTTTTTGTTTTCATTCATTTTTCATTTCTCTTTTCTCTTTTCTCTTCTTTATTTTTTCATAAAGAATGCCGACGCACGGTTATATTATTCCGCAGGCTTTTAAAAAATGCGTGCAAAGGTAGTTCTCAACTCTGAATAGAGTTTAATGGTTTTGAAAGTTTGTTTCGGGCTTGCGAAGATCTCGGCGCACTGCGTGTACTCGCGGGTACTTGCAAGTTCGGATGCATGCCCGAGCTGCGCTTTACATGACAATCGCGACTAAAGACCGCCGGCATTGTTCCGGTGCCACGTGCGCGACCCGAAACTCCTCTTTGGTGGTGTAATTAGGTGTGAACCACAGGAGCGTCGAGTACGCCTCACTTGACCCGATGATGGCCTAGTGCCCGCGCCATCCGCTTCGCTCCCTCTTCTCCTCGTTGATGGCGTATCGATGAGAATTTTCGCACGTGATCCCAATGACTCCGAGATACTACTTTACTCCAGCGCTACTCGTTCATCGGCGTTCACGGTCGTTCACGTGGCTAATGCGCGCCTCGAGCACATGGCCCATGTTCTTTGCTCCTCTTTAAATCGCATTTGCTTGCCAAGAAGGTGTTCAGCCAAATTTTCGAATGCGTTTGAATCAATTTGGTCAATGGGATCCAATTTCCTGTTTGATAGTTGGTAAGCTAACCGAGTCATACATCTAGAGCGAAGTCCCAAGTATTGAGCTTTGACGGAAAATTCTTCGCTTTCGCATCTTCAAATGATTTAATTAATTAGAAAGCGATATTTTCCTGATAATGATAATTAAACATATTCATAAATTGATATTTTATTAAAGTGCCAAAGAGTTTATATATTTTAAAGTGTCAAATTTAATAAATATAATTTATAGTAGCTAATAGACGATGCGAAGCGTAAACATATTTTAATCAATACTAATACATTTGCATCTTCGATCGATTCAGGTTCGACGTTTTATTTGATATTACGCTCCCCTTATTACATATATCAAAATTATTATTTCAATAAATTACAGTTGAACGGTGTTTAGAAAAAAAATTCTTTAGCTAAATGTCTTTAACAATTTTTTTGTTTTTTGTTTTTTTGTTTTTGTTAACAAGTAAATATCGTATATTACGAAAAATCCATTTAAAAATTTTATTTATGGAAATAGATATTAAAAAATACGATTTCTTCGGTTCATCAGAACCACTTGAGTACATTTTATATACTATGAAATTCCAGCTCCACACTAAGAGATTCGTCATTTCCAATGGTAGATCACTTCTGACGATTGGACTACTATTGCATACTTAACTTTTTACTGTCGAGTAAAGTGTATCATACAGTTATATATACAATTATAATCAATAGTCTAATTTTCAAATCGCCATGATAAGTGTTAATGGTTAATTCTAATATTCTTTCTAATATCGTAACTATTGATTTTAGTTATTTCAAATTTGAAATAAATTTTAAAACAAACGGATTTATATGTTATAATGTTTTTAGCGAAATGAAAAATTATTCAATGTATTACAAATGATTGATATTCTATAAATATTGATCGATTATGATATTGATAGTTATTCGATAATAATTTGATAATCAAATGGTCAAATCATTGACTTATAAAAAAAATCGATTAGTTTTGAATAAGCGATTAGTAGTTGTTTAATCATAATTCTTATGACCAAAAATTACATTTAAATAGTTTGTTAAACCTTTTAAATTAATTATAATGTCAAACAGTGAAACTAGTTTTATACTTTATGTTTTATCAGTCTCAATGTTGGAAAACAATAAATAAAGAAAGAAATTTTATTTTTTTTTTTATTGGAAATACTTTTACATCCCAATGGCATCAGGATAATATATCATTTTATTATATGGATTTTAGTTGAAACTGCTAATGTTATAAGGGATGCAAATATTTGTCAATAAAATTTGTGGCTATTGAAAAATTAAATATCCTTTCGATTGTATGCAATTTAATCGTCTACATTGTACATACAACGAAAAAACGATAACTATATTTGAAGAGCAGAATAATTATCGAGGAGCCAGAGATGATATTTTAAAAAGTTTATAAACTCCAAGTACCAGAGTGTTTTGCACGATAAGCTCCATTGATGTTGAATTTACAAAAGCGAAGCGCGAGCCGGGTAAGTAAGCTGAAAGGTCGAGATAAGAAAGAGGAAGAAAAAGGAAAGGAGAGGTCGCTTTTTCGAATCAATCTAATCAATAATAAATTATAGGGGAACATCTCGGTACATCGCACTCCCCTAAAGCTTCGCATCTCTGACCCTCCCGCTCAATTGGTCGCAATTCTTAAAGACCTTAATTGGCGCGGAAAATTATACCTTATTTCGAACTACCCTGAACGAGACCCGCTTCGACTTTATTTCTTTCTAGCCACTCTTTTTATCGGCAAAACTTTTTGTGCTTTCTTCATTCTATTGGATAAAAAGAATTTTTACGTTACGACACGAAAATCATATATTCATGCTTCATGTCATGCAAATTTATATTTTTTTATTTATGCCACATAGAGTTTGAAAATTGCAGAAAAACTGTCTGTTAAATAGCAGTTAGGTAATAATAAATAATCCTTTATCAATTTATAGAGTGGTGGAATAAAATTTGCTAATACATAACGCAATGGTCCGCGATTAATATAAGAAAATAATTTTTAATGAGCGATTTTATTTGTGAAGCTTGAACTGTATAGGCTTAAGTTTGTTGAGGCGGCATCGGCCGAGCACACGCTTCAACCCGCGGAAGAACATAAAAACAAGAAGACCGGATGACTGCTGACTGTTTGTTAATCTTGGCTTTTAAAGTCTACACGTCTGTCAGTCCGAAGATGTAATATTAGTGCTTAGTATATGCAGTACCACTGCTCATTCGCTCTTTATTTCTTTTATATCACTTTTATTTTTAACCTTTATAATTTCTATATCAAATTGCCGCTGCTACTTTTTTCATACCTTATTTATTTATATTTTCATCTCCGCTTATATTTATTCAGATTAGCCGTTTATTTAAAAGATTTAATAGATTCGATAGATTGAACAGATTCAATAGATTTAATAGGGTTTAACGGAGCCAATTTATTTGAGTGCTTTAACATTTATTCGTTTAATTATATAAAAGTTTAGGTACTACGAACCGACATCGTTTCAAAATAAACAATTAACAAAATAATATTTATTATTAATTCACAAGAAAACATTGTTGTTTGATTTAATTAAAAACAATTACGGTAAAATTGAAAAGCCGTATATTTTATTATTCAACCAAAGCCAATTATATAATTCATATGTTTATTCAATTATTTATCTATCGTAGGTACAGGCTAATCGTGAATCTACGTTCGGTTGTCGATATAAAAATACCAACGGTCGTTATGAACTCTCTACATTATCGACTGTGAATATATATGCCGTTCAAGCAGCAATTTTAAATAAAAGTATACAATAAGTTATTGCATTTATATATACAAAAAGAACATATCAATGTTAAAATCGATAAAGAATTTTAAAAAAAATATATAAAAACGAAATCTACAAATTGCACAATCTTTTAAAGAATTACATTATATATATATATATATATATATATATATATATATGTAAGTGCTATAGAATTATGCTTATGATAAACATGCGGTACTATTGTCTAAATATATCCTTCATCTACTCCCGTAAAAAAAAAAATTTGAATAAAATATCGTAATTGAATATTAAATATAGAAAAGTTTAGAGTTAATTGTTGAGCCACGTTTAAAATCGAAATATAAACATTAAAAAGTCTTAAATGCGAATATAATATTTAATGCTTTGTGAAATTTATTTCCAGTTATTAATAATAATCTATCGGTAATCATAAACCATTCAAAGTCTACCATAATTCATTTAGTTTTTAAAATGTATCGGTGAGAAGAGTCGGAAATAACGACTAGCATATATTTTGTTTATACACACCTTGACAGTTTTATTGACTTGTTCCTACCGTCTTTTATGACACCGACTGCCCCATCAACCGAATCAAAGTTGATATACGAAATATATGTATAAATATATATCCCCGTGAGTACAAACGTTTTATGTGTAGACACTTGACTGCCAGATGACCCATCATTGCAAGATAACCTAAAAGCCTCTGTGGTTTCGTTCAAGTTGTTACGAGTTTTACCTATTTATAAATCAGATGATACTATCGGTCTCGGACCAATTTATAATTATAAAAGTTAATTTTATTCTTTAAGAATACGGAATTCGTAGCCGAGTTTCCGTTACGGCTAAGCCAATGAAGCCCATTTAATTGCTAGTTTACTAAATATGTTGTTGTAGCATATCGATGAGCGAATGGAAATTTAAAATAATTAGAATTTTAATCATTTGACTACTGCATTTTGAGATTAAAAGAGCGTAAGGAAAGCGTGTATGGAAGATGGAATTGTAATATACGCATCCGTAAAGGCCACTTGAAGCAGTTTCCGTTCGTATTATCCTTAAAGTGGCACTTTTAAAAAATCTTACGGCAAAAAATTGTCCCAAAAAAAAAGTAAGTGCAGCTGTCTATTTTATGTGCCCTTCGAATCGCTCATTTATTTCATTTGGCACCCCGTATTAGGTGCAATTGACAAATAACCTTGGGGTTTACAAAAATAAGAACGACTGTTTGCATAAAAATCATTTTAATAACTGTTTTTAAATATTTTTTTTTTCACATAGAACAATAGATATAATCTCTGTTATTTCAAGTACTTCTATAGCAACAGATTGTTTCTTTTTACAAAAAAACATTTGCGATTTCACGCATGAATTGTAATATTATTGCTTCTTCTTCTCTTCTTATAGTCTTACATAAAACTTCATTTAAAACAATTAAGTTTTATAATCAATAATTAAATACAAGGCATCGCAGTAATTTATTTATCAAAAATTTTTGTTTTCGAAGACACTTAATTACTCTTAGTACAACGACGTCTTTATATTTGCCGTAAGCATAATACAAACTTCATAAACGTTTAATACTCAGTATAGTTTATTTAGGTATAAAATGCATATAGTAGGTGCTCTATTATTTAATGATCTGTTAAATTTCATTCACCATAATCTTTGTAGATTCTGATCCATCGTATTCTGATCCATGAAATTGTAATAGGACATTTGGTAATTCGAGGGATTTGCGTAGCTGCCAAAGTTGCCAAAATCCATCGTGGACTCTATACAATTCTTGTTATCCGAGGTTTTTATTTCCGACACTACATTACGCATATCGGGGAAGGGCATGATCTCGCTCGTGAAATGAGACTTGTACTCGATTTTTAACGATCTTTCGTCACTGTGGTTCGCGCTACGGTACTCCGTCGGGATAATCGTTCGTTGATCGAGGCCCGGATTCCCTCGGTTGACGTGGTCCGGCTGATTCAGGTCCGTTCTGATAAATTCAGAACTTTGAATTTGCTCGTTTGGCCTGAAGTCGGTGTGTCGAATGTCATTGCGCGGGAAATCCACCGATGGGTTGATTTGGGCTTCCGATCGGAATGTCGGCCAGTAGGGTGGATTATACGTGTCTTGGACATTGGGTTTGCCGTCTTTAATAATCACAGGCACGGGTATCTTCCTGAGAGATTGATTTTTGAGATTTTGGGACTGTATCTTTTCTGCGTCCTCCATGCGTGCGCGTTTATTCTTATATCGTCGATTTTGAAACCAAATTTTCACCTGCGTACTTGTCAATTTTAGCGATTGCGCCAACATTTCGCGTTCCGGAGCGCTTAGATACCTTTGCTGCTTGAATCTTTGCTCCAACTCGTAGACTTGCGTCTGTAACACAAATTATTCAAATTCATTTATACATTTATAGTATCAATAAGAAGAATCCTTTTCCTCGTTTTCGGCTTACTTAAAAAAAGGTCTTATTTACTTAAAAGACTTATGCTTATCCCTTTTTCTTTACTTTATTAATGCATACACTTTATAATATGAAAAAATAATTATCGAAGCAAAATATTAATCTAATAAGGTAATAATAACATTCTTTGCTTTCTAATGCAATTAAAATATTGGTACGACTTACTTGAGAAAAAAGAACTCGAGGTTTTCGTTTCATCCTTTTGCCCGACTGACTTTTACGCAGCTCCGTTTTACTCGAAGTCACCACATTACCTGTATTTTGCATATTTTAACAAATTGTTACAATTGATATTTTAACATAGTCAAGTTAGAATAATAATTATTTTAATAGCAAAAGTTCCGCAAATATTTTATCATTGTCAACGATATAATTAAGGTTTTCAATAAATTTGAAAAAACAATTAAATAATGCAATGTAATTTTATGCTTTATGCTTCACTTAATTTCATTCAATTATTTCAGTTCTTAAACAATTATATAGCTAATTAATACAATATTTGATGGTTATATTTAATATAAAATTTATTATATTACAGAACTTTGTATTTTTAGAATGTTTTTTAAATCCTTGTATGTATATGTTTTTGTTGGATATTCGATATCAAAGCTCAGTTGAATCAATCACAATATTGAATCCCACTTAAAAAGACGATTCATTTAATAATGTCTGTTTTTAGAAAAAAAAATTATAATATGTATTAATATCTATAATTATAGTAATATAATGTGAATGTAATATGCTTATAAATGTAGCAATGGACAAGTTTCAATTTTAAAAATTGATAAAAATCCAAATATGCGTTTAATAATTATTTCTATAATTTAAATCTATGAAACTCGAGTCCCGGTTCTTGAAACACACGTGCACGTAAATTGTGCGATTAAAATCAACGAGCAATTGCAAAAATTAAGTAATTAAGCCTTAGTTTTATAATAATATAACATTTTTAATATTAAATAACTTCACCATCTTCGACTACTGAATTCTCCTGATACGGCGGAACGACTTGGCTGAGTTGATGGACATGGTTCATCTCACCGTATCCTTGATAATTGTTAACACTTTGTTCTTTCAATTTATCCAAATCCCAAGTACTTTCTTGTATTACATTATATCCGTAATAGTCCGGTTGCATTTGATTGTTAATTTCAGTTTGAATGTCTGTGTGCTGATGGGTTTGATAACAATCCATACCGGGAATTTCTTGCTCAGCGCTAAGAATATCTCGAACACTGAATGGCGTAGCCGATATTATAGTAGACAACATTCTAATACATTGTAAGTATTGCCAAGCAATCGAGACTTTTGTCTATTATATATATTATGCACTGTGTAAAAAGTCACGAGAAGTTGATTAGCTCAAATGTATTATACATTAATATCGCAAAGTCCCGATTCCCATTGTAAGAAATCCGCATGGCCAAGTACACGTTGATATAACAAAAGTCTTGAAGATCTCTCCAAAACCGTTGAACTTTGGAGATTATCAACAGAGTATAGGAAGAAAGCAAGGTTTAATCGTATAACACACGACCTTCAAATCACGAGGGTAGCTGAACACGAGTGAACAGTTCGGAGGGTAAATCTATAATGTTTCTTGGTTTCTCGTCGAGTCAAGTGTCAGTCTGTAGACATACACCAATGCAGATTGCCTAAGCGTGTGTGCGTTCCTGGGTGGAGATTCACGGACACTGCTTTCTCTACCAACATTATCCCACGACCAAAAAATGCTCACATACCTTTTACATATTGCTTCTTAAAAATATTTGTATCTAAGCATTTATTGCATTATTCATTGTTTAATCTCTGTTACGATATTTATCCCAATATTATTGCCCATCCTTCTTAACAATAAATACGGCATTTTTTTCATAGAGCGTGTTTTTTTTTTGTGTTCAATTTCAACGTATTCGTTAACAACATTAGAAGGCACAATTACTTTTATTAGGAATTGTTTACAATTGTAATACAGACAGGAGTAGTCATAAATCATTTTGGGGCGGGGATTATTTTGTGAGTGCCGCCTATTGAGAAACGATCAGCCAATCTGCGACAAAGGTTAAGGCAACAAATATTTAGTTAATATTTTGTATAATAAGTATCTTTTAAATGCCCTAGTTAATATACTAAGTCAATATCATTATCTTCATTGCGAGTTGATTATTATTATTCATTCAATCTTGTTAATATTCTGCACACGCATGAGATATTGAATAATTTAAAATTAATAATTTGAATAAACATTATGTTTATTAATTGCCTTAGATGTATAAGCCGTAGAATTTCAAAGCCAAATAAGTAATAATAAATATATACAAAAAGATTAAGTAGTAAATATAATTAAAAAAATATATAAATTAATATAGCTTTAAATGAATATAGCTTACTGGAATGCAACGCTTGTAAAATTTTTTTAAAAGTATTTTTATTATTACTTGAGAAACAGAAATTTAACACTTGCATCTGAAAAATTCGTTAGTTTATATTTCGGCTTTAGCATCAATTTTTATCACATTGAAATTTATAAAGATAATCGTAAAATCAATAATTGATGCAAAACACATATGAACACCAACACACATTCGCACGTATACGCATATGTGCAATAAATTTAAGAATTTTTCAAAGAATTTATGAAATTCAATATGGGTTATGAATAATCAATCGCTCATTGAATTACATATTTCCGTACATAGATAAACACGTACAAATAAATAAATTACTAAATCTTAAAACATTACGTACTTTTGTTACATTCGAAAAACAATGTATTTTATAAAATAATTAAAAAAAAATTTGAAAACAGATAAGATGCAATTATAATTTCATTCTTTATATTTTTGCTCAAAATTTGGCAATAATTGATAGTTTTTAACAGACGATTTTATTGGAATAGTCGATACTTTTAATTTTTTTATTTAATAAGTTTGTCATTATCGGATAAATATGTTTATATTATTGATTAGTCAAAAATTAAATTGTAATTATCTAAAACAATCGTTGTAGATTGAGAAAAAAAAAATTTTATTATAAATTACCGACTCATACGTCGTATTCCTATAAGAATGTTTAAAAAATTTTTTAATTATTTCGGTAAAATATTTTGTTACATATGTGTTGAGAGTCATATCCCATATTTTAATAATCATTTTATGTTATGAAGAAACGTAATATTTTAATTATTTTACATATTAATGAGAATAATTATTATTTGTAATGTAGAAAGTAACTTTTACCTAAGCATTACTTAGCTAATGATAATTTGCTCTTCATAAGCTTACTTAAGCTTAAACCTTTAGTAGTACAATTATTGTACATTATTTCTAATAGTTTTGTAAAAGTTATACAGATCCAGAGATCAGTTGGAATTATTTGAACATTGCACTGCCATTTAATCAAAACCAAAAATGGAGGAAAAACTATGGTTAAAGCAATGCCAGTTGTTTACCCCTGCCTTCTTTGAAAAAGTAGGGATTTTCTAAAAATCTCGTATAAACAAGGTTTCAAATTGCACAGCAAGACATAAAATAGATTATATAGTGAGTGAGTTGTCGAAGCGATCTTCGCATCCTTAGTATTACTTTTGAAAGATTCTGGAAAATGTAAGGCTGAATAATATTACAAAGATGGAGTGAAGTCCATCACCACGTGTCTAGACAACCAGATTCATGCAATTGTCTAGGCGGCTTATGTAAGAAAAAAAAAATGGAAAAAGAAAAGAAGTAACATTGGTGAATGTTCCAGTACTGCTGGCGAGCATAGGAAAGGACTCTTTCGAGGCTGACCTCTTCGAGTCGCGTCACATCCGCCCCGATTCCGGAAGAGGACTCTTTCATTCCGGTTGTCCATTCGGCGAGAGGCGGAGATAATTTATGGTAACAAACCTTATATAGCGCTTAAGAAGTTTCAGCCGATTGCGACTCGACCTCTGTCGATTATTCACACTATTTCTTATATGCTCACAATTAACTTTTCTTTACTGCAAGAATCGCTTAATAATTCATATTTAAGATTGAAAATTTAAAGTAATAATGTAAAATATATAAGGTCATATAGCACAAAAATAACCGAGTGTTATTGTATCGATAATTTACCCAATGATGATATAATTGATTTTGTTTTTAATATATTGATAAGTATACGAGTGTATATTTTAACTTTGAAATAAAAAAAAAATTAATTCAGTTCAAAGACTTAAAAAAAAAATTTAACTTCATAGTATAATTTTCATAGTATAATTTTGCAATAACAATATTATTACTCTACAGCGAATGCTATATTGCGAGCAGAAAACATATTGTTAAATGTTAAATAATGTCGTAAAAAAGTGTACAATACGAAAGTTCATCCAAATTTCCAAAGTTTGTATTATTTTTCATAAGCATTGAAATAATCATAAATGATTGGCACTCTTATCAGGAAAAATTGATGGTAAAGCGATCGCCAATAAAATAAATATATATATGATAGTGAATCGCAGAGTTTTGCCAAAAGGAAGAGAGGGCTCGAAGTTTAATGAAAGAGCCCGAGGAAAGGACCTCGGAAGTAGAAGAACCAGAGAGATCCTGAAATGCGTTTGCCATCGTGGGCGGCGGTGATCGAACGGCATCGGCATCGGTGTCGGTGTCGGTGTCGGTGTCGGTGTCGGTGCCGGCGTCGGCGTCGGCGTCGGCGTCGGCGTCGGCGTCGGCTTCGGCTTCGGCTTCGGCTTCGGCTTCGGCATCGATGTCGGCGTCGGCGTCAGCCAACGTGACATGGCCCAGAGCGCGGCTTCTCACACAATGGTCCCTTTTATGCAGGCCGCAGTCCGTTAGTGCAACTGGACGCCACATTGCCCATATCGTCGTTCGCTTTTCCTCCTCGAGCCTCGGCGTTTTTTGCCCCCCGCGACAACTTTGCGTTCGCGCTAGGGCATCTGCTGCGTGCGAAAACCCAATGACAGGGATATTTTTGCGCGCTGCCCTCGGCTCGAGAAAATCGTCGGGGCCCAGCTGGCGCCCCGTGTACTTTGACTCGGCAATTAATCCCTGACGTTTGAAATGTTACACGCTACCGGCGTAACGACGGCTACTCCCTTTGGACTTATACCACGCGACAGACTCGTATTTGCTTCGGTAATTACTCGATGTCCAGGCACTTTATTTTCTAGACAGATAATCATATGAATTTGTCCACCGATTCGATCCACACAATCCGATAATCGTACTCGCCGTCGTTCTAATCAACTACACTTAGCCTTATTCGAATCCACTATATCAGGACAATGGTATTTTTTTTTTGTTTCTTTTTTTTTTTATATATACACTTTATATTACGAGCATTACAAGCTCATTGACTTGAGAATGAGATGCATAAATAAATATTGTAAATAGAGTTCATGGTTTACAAAAGCCACACGTAGTTTGCGTAATGTAATAGGCGCGAAAAATGGGTAACGACTGTTCGAACTTCCAGGCGTTCGTCTTGGCGCCACGTCGCGGGCGACCTGACACTTCTACGTCTTTCCCACAGTCAAGGAGACGCCCTCGTTATCTTCCGATGCTTCCAACCCGCCCTTCGACGATGTCGCGTTGCTCGGAGTTATACACATATAAAATAAATGCATCGCAAAACGTCGTGGGAAATGTCGAGCAAAGCCGATAAAAAGTAAATCGATGGCGCGACCAACGCAATGAGGATCGAATTACCGTCCTGTAAACATTCAATCGTCTCGTGGCTTTATTTTCTTGCACTCGCCACGGTACCTCAACGATTTGGCCAACTTTGACCTTAGCGAGGCTGCTCGAGCATGTGCTACTTTTACATCGTTCAACATAATTTCTATTCTCGATCAGAATTCGCTTGACTCTTGGCATAAAAAACAAAACAAAAACAAAAAGTAGCAAAAAGCTGAATCTTTGTGAAATTTAGTAAAGTGTGATTTATCTGCGCGAAGCACGGAATTTGAACGAGATCGCTTCGTCAAGGGTTTAGGATGCCAATAGGCACGTCTGGATTATGTTAAGCCTGAGAAAAAGGAACGCGACTGCGCGCGCCTTTACTCGTCTTCTTTGGTGGGAAAATTAAATGCCTTGTTCGCTCTTTTTTCGAACCTTCGAACAAGTACATTCTAACAATTTACCATGTATACTCTCATTAACTTTTTATCTTTCGGGTATTTTTTTCAGATCCACTCAATACTGTGACTGACACGTGACAACTTAGCTTACGATGGACAAGCAGATCTAGTGACCTATGTTTTATTATGACATCATACCATAGTTATTCTTGAATCATTACATTAGTATTTGAACATCATTATTCAGGTTTACAATTAGCTTTCTTTTTATATATTCGATTTGTACGAAATAAAATTAATAATGATAAATTATAAAAGTCTAGGAACGCTTATTATTATATAATTTCTTAACTTTCTGTTCAACATAAAGAATACTTGTCTTTTATTTATTTCATTTCTCAATTTGATTTTTAAACAATTTTTAAA